ATCCCTTTGACACCTCGTGGTCACACAGGTTGATATGCTTCTTCCATGTGGGCTTTGTTGCTTCTGAGCTAGCTGGCCGCTTGTTCTAGCCCTGACCTTGCTTTGACTGTTGATATTGCGTTTCCTCATCTCTCCGCACAGCTGTACTCGTTTTAATTCCTGTGAATTCCACGTACTCTTTTCATAAATATTCTACAAGTGCCTGGTACACCTGCATTTTATGTTATTGAGATATGTTATTTTCAATTAATCGGTTGCAAAATTCATCTTACAGGTAAGAAAACTAAGGCACGTAGAGCCTGAGTAAAACCCACAGTTAAAGAGGTATTAAGTGGTAGAAGTAAAAAGCTGACCCAGCTGCCTAACTCCAGAATTTGTCCTCCCAACCACTGTTGCATGGTCTCTTAATTAGCATAAGAGTCTATAACAGAAAAAGCTCAAACGAAGCTCAGTGGCATTGTGTCCCTGAACAACAGAACAGCACGGCCCTCTTGGCCCTCTGGGGCTTTGTAGCCTGTCCTGGAGCACAACACCTAATCTTTCTCCCACAGAGTGGCCCGTAGACTTGAACCACAGACTTTAAGGAAAGCATCCAAACTTGTAATCGACTACAGCAGTGTTAAAAGGCAGCATATTTAAAAAAACGAAACTTATCCAATTGAAGTTCATGCCAAAACAAAAACAGAAACACCTCAAAAAGCCCATCTTTGCTGAATGCTAGATGGTAGTGATCCTGAGAGCACTTTGTAACCTGTGATAAGCACTGAAATTTGGTATACTTGGTACTCAGCCTATTTTCATAAATAAAAATTTCTAAATTCAGTAACAAAAGATGATTATCACAGAGATTTCTGAAATCCTACAAAAGCTCTAGGAGAGAGAAAAAATCCTTATAGTGTAAAACCGTAATCGCTATTAAGAGCATCTAGTCTCTGGCCAATGCTGTCTATTCCAATCAAAAAGGCATTTCTCTTAATCAATTATCAGTTAATGGTTGATACCTCAATGTCCACATGGCATGGCACAATTCATTATTACAAACTTGATGATGAATCAAGTGTTTTCATAGATTATTCAGTTACTTTCGGAAAATTTGTTTCATTTCTATTATAATTACCCAACCCATCTGTGCCAGGACCTTCATTATTCTCTATCTATCTCTATTTCTATATTTGCCCACTCA